CCCTGTTCGCCGCGACCAGAGAAGAGCCCGCACACAGTGATGGAGACTCAGCACAATGACAATAACAGTAAGTACTAATATCTCTCACCTATCAAGATATATATTAGGAACCTGTAAAGAAATTTTACTTAGGTATTTAATATATCTAGTGAACGTCTACCACCTGCCAAGTTCTTTGCTCAGTGTTACAGATGAGTGTGACCAAGGATAAAACAGAACAGCTCATGAACTTAACGAGTAGGAAAGGCAGACCAAGGACACATGAAGAAGCAGATAATAATAAAGTATGACCCAGTGTGGCCGTGATAAAGAAAGTGTCAGACGCTGTGACGCTCTATGTGGTGCAAAAGATGAAGGGCCTGGGGGCCTGAGGAGGAAGCAGCAGCAACTGTGAGGGAGGGTAAGCCAGGCCAAGGACAGACAAAGAATATACACAAAGGCCAAAGGGCAGGAGAGCGGCACTAGAGGAAATGGGAGAGTTCAGTCTGGCTGGGGACAAAGGGAGGCTACATGTGGGAGAACACAGGACGTTGTAAGGAAAAGGAGTCGGCCACTGAGGCGAGGTGGTTCTGATTGCGTTTTAGAAGTGTCACCAGTGTGCTGAAGGGCTCAGTTAGGGGAGCAAGGCTGGATGCAGGGCACCCAGGCAGGATGCTGCTGCAGGGAGGCAGGTGATGAGTGAGGACCACAGCGGTCAGGGGAGTGAATTACCACTGATGGTCTCGGTCACAGGGGAGGCCACATCTTCAAGACCCTTGAGACTGGGTACCTACGGGAACAACATCTCATTACCACACAAAGGAAGCAGGAGGAGGGAAGGCAGATGGGGAGTGAGAAGGAGGTTCTGACTTCAGTGGTTGACTGGCAAGGGTTGCGGGGTAGCACATCAAGCCCCTTTTGAAAACTTGTCAGCGGGATCCAAACCCTTAGCCTGGTGGTCCAGCACTGCTCACGGATGTGGGATGCCACATCGCAGGGCTCTCACACTTGTCCCAGCACACAGCAGACATTCAGCACATTTGCTGGGAGGAAATTGTAACATGGAAACTGAGAACAATTTCCCCAAAGACATGCTTTTAAATTGTATTTTTTTTTAAGAGAAAAATTTACTGTTGGGGGAATATCCATGACATATCTTGTATTAATTCCCAATTCAGCCTGGTAATAGCAGAAGTAAGCTACTCACAGACTGAATTTAGTATCTTGGCCGCATGCACAGTATTATTATACACTAGCTCAAGAACTGTTATGCATATATATGTGTGTGTATATATATACACACACATATTCAAACCACAACTTTTTTGCTCTTTCTTCTGCACTTAGGTTGGCTATGTGCCTTCAGTATTATGGTCAATGTGAAAGTCTAGTGATGTAATGCTGAGTCATACTACATAAGTCAAGGTAATTTAACATGGGAGAATGACCCAGTTACACTCTAATCCCGTATTTTTACATCAAGCACTGGAACATGCGAATGGACTCTTTATTTAGCAGAGCACTATGGTCTATTTAAAAAGAACCCTACTGTTTTAGGAGCTCAGCCTGGTGCTCTGGGACAACCTAGAGGGTGGGATGGGGTGGGAGGTGGCAGGGAGGTTCAGGAGAGAGGGGATATGTGAATGCCTACAGCTGATTCTTGCTGATGTATGGCAGAAACCAACACAGCTTTGGACAGCAATTATCCTCCAATTCAAAATAAGTAAAGAAAAAAGGAGAAGAATTCTATAATTTTAGAATCACAAATATATGGCATATAAAAATGCCTTCCTGGACAATTACATAGCTTTATGAAGTCTATCAATAACTTGCAATATGGTGTTGCCCAGACATTTATTGCACATTGTTGTTCAGTTGCTAAGTCGTGTCTCACTCTTGGTGACCCCATGGACTGCAGCATGCCAGGCTTCCCTGTCCTTCATTATCTCCTGGAGTTTGCTTAAACTCATATCCATTGAGTCAATAATGCCATCCAACCATCTCATCTTGTTACCCTCTTCTCCTCCTGCCCTTAATCTTTCCCAGCTTCAGGGTCTTGGAAAATAATAACTGGGTCATTCTTCACATCAGGTGGCTCTTCACATCAGGTGGCTAAAGCATTGGAGCTTCAGCTTCAGCATTAGTCCTTCTAGTGAATACTCAGGATTGATTTCCTTTAGGATTGACTGGTTTAATCTCCTTGCTGTCCAAGGGACTCTGAAGAGTCTTCTCCAGCACCACAATTTGAAAGCATCAGTTCCTCAGCACTCAGCCTTCTTTGTGGTCCAATTCTCATATTCGTACATAACTACTAGAAAAACCACAGCTTTGATTATATGGACCTTTGTCGCCAAAGTGATGTCTCTGCTTTTTAATATGCTGTCTAGGTTTGTCATAGCTTTTCTTCCAGGGAGCAAGCAACTTTTAATTTCATGCCTGCAGTCACTGCCTGAGGCCTTTTTTGCAGAGTTCTTCTGTGTTTCTTGCCACCTCTTCTTAATATCTTCTGCTTCTGTTAGGTCCATACCATCTCTGTCCTTTACTGTGCCCATCTTTGCATGAAATGTTCCCTTGCTATCTCCAATTTTCTTGAAGAGATCTCTAGTCCTTCCCATTCTACTGTTCTCCTCTATTTCTTTGCATTGATCACTGAGGAAGGCTTTCTTATCTCTCCTTGCTATTCTCTGGAACTCTGCCTTCAGCTGGGTCTATCTTTCTGCTTCTCCTTTCTTTCACTCCTCTTTTTCTCTCAGCTATTTGTAAGGCCTCCTCAGACAACGACTATTGTCTTCTTGGATTTCTTTTTCTTGGGGATGGTTTTGGTCACTGTCTCCTGTATAATGTTATGAACCTCCGTCTATAGTTCTTCAGGCCCTCTGTTTACCAAATCTATTCCCTTGAATCTATTCATTACCTCCACTGTATAATCATAAGGGTTTTGATTTAGGTCATATCTGAATGGTCTAGAGGTTTTTCCCTACTTTCTTCAATTTAAGTCTGAATTTGGCAATAAGGAGCTCATGATCTGAGCCATAGTCAGCTCCATGTCTTGTTTTTGCTGACTGTATAGAGCTTCTCCATTTCTGGCTGCAAAGAATATAATCAATTTGATTTTGGAATTGACCATCTGGTGATGTCCATGTGTAGAATCATCTCTTGTATTGTTGGAAGCAGGTTTTTACTATGACCAGTGTGTTCTCTTGGCAAAACTGTTAGCCTTTGCCCTACTTCATTCTACACTCCAAGGCCAGACTTGCCTGTTATTCCAGGTATCTCTTACCTACTTTTGCATCCCAGCCCCTTGTAATGAAAAGGACATCTTTTTTTATGTTAGCTCTAAAAGGTCTTGTAGGTCTTCATAGAACTGTTCAACTTCAGCTTCTTTGGCATTAGAGATCAGGGCATAGACTTGGATTACTGTGATATTGAATGGTTTGCCTTGGAAACGAACTGAGATCATTCTGTCATTTTTGAGACTGCACCCAAGTGCTGCATTTTGGACTCTCCTGTTGACTACAACGGCTGCTCCATTTCTTTTAAAGGCGGCCCCCTGGTGACTCAGCTGGTAGAGAATCTGCCTGCAATGCGGGAGACCTGGGTTTGATCCTGGGTTGGGAAGATCCCCTGGAGAAGGAAATGGCAACCCCACTCCAGTATTCTTGCCTGGAGAATTCCATGGGCAGAGGGGCCTGGTGGGCTACAGTCCATGGGGTTGCAAAGAGTCAGACATGACTGAGTGACTAACATACATATATATATATGCCTACAGTAGTAGAGATAATGGTTATGTGAATCAAATTCACCCTTTCCTGTCCATTTTAGTTCACTGATTCCTAAGATGTCGATGTCCACTCTTGCCATCTCCTGCTCGACCACGTCCAACTTCCCTTGATTCATGGACTTAATATCCCAGGTTTCTATGCACAAGAGAAGAATTTAATCTGTTGAACAATTATACACCTCAGACAACCAAGATAAACTCTGAGTCATCCAAATGCTAAAGTATTAGAAAAATAGCTTTTAAACAGTAAGTACTGCCACTGAAACACAACACACCCCAAACCTGCGGGCTTCTGGGGACTGCTGACAGTCAGGAAGTCACTTCCCCACTCGTCTGCCTTCCTATTAGGTGTGTTTCTGCTTGCCTGCTTTACACTGTGTATGTAGTTAGCATATACACAGCTTCAGCTTAGTTAATGCTCGAGTTTATTATTTTCCTTTTAAAATGCATACACCTAGAGCTTCACTCATCATATTAAAAAGTTCAAAAGTTTTTATACAATTTTCCACTTTCTTCAACAAAGTAATGCTTTAAAGACAAAAGGAGGGGGAAGAAGGGGGAACTAGCATAAAAGAAGTTTTGAAGGACCTTATGGAAAACATGTAGCCCATGTTTAAATTCTGTTTTTCACCAATCAACTATAAGAAGACATCTTTCAGACAAACTGTGACATCTGAATATGGAATCTTACATGGTATCAAGGAACTACTGTTATTTTTAAAGATAATGATGGCAAGAAAAATGTTTTTAAAATTCTTACCCATCAGAGATGCATTATGAAGTATTTAAAGGTAAAATGACAAGAGTCTAGGTTCTACCTTAAAATATTCCAGTTTAAAAAAAACAGATGATGATAGAGAAAGAAATGAACAAAGTGACAATCTTTCGACAATTATTGAAGCTGGTTGATGCACACAAAGGGTTTAGTATATCATTCTTTCTCCTTTTTAAAGTTTTTTTTAAATATTTGAAATTCCTTTAATAAAATTCCTTTAATAACCTTTAGTAAACCAATAAAAATAAAAGAAAAAAAATAACCTTTAGTAAAAGGTTATTTCTTTTCCAGTTATACATTTAGAGTACAGTTCTGTTTTAACTGGAAGCAAAGAATCAACAAATATTGATGTGTGAAAATATTTTTAAATAATGGTTTAGTGGTTTAGTCTAGTGGTTCTTGCCTCATGTTCTACATAATCTTCATGAGTGTGAGCATGTTATGCAGTTAATATTTATCACTGACCTTTTCCTTTGTTCTCAACTCATCAAACATTTGTTGAATTTCCAGTTTCCAGTCATCTTGCATGGAATGAAAGGACTCTTGAGGCATTTCAGTCATAACTGCCTTTTCAATTTCAGTCAGTTGTTCAAGAATTAAGGCAAAAGATGGTCGAATGTGAGGGTCTTGTTGCCAGCATTCTAAAATAAATAAGAATCGTGGTAAGTCCATTTCTCCACATGGTTCAGATTGTCAGCCTGTGTTGACAGGGTCTGTTCAAGATTTTAAACATCAGTTGATAATGATTTTGAAAATTTTATTTTATACCATGCCTGTGTCAGCAGCCTGTGAAGTAATTATTATTAGATAAGACTCTTGTTGTCTGTATGACTTGACATTAGTATATGGATGTGTGTTTCCTCTGCCTTACCATGAACTCTATCTCACCTAAGCTGCCCTCATCACATGACTTACAGTTTCAGAGTTCTAAAAGTCAATCCAAGAAAACCTAGGTCTCTAAAATGTTATAGTCACAAGAGAGGTTCTAAGTAAGGTAACTTACTGCCCACAAAAAGAGTTACTTAACAGTTTTTAAAAAGATAAGACCAAAATAGATAAGGTCATGGCAAAACCATGCCAGTTGAGACTGTAAAGGATTATTGATCATTAGGAAGAATTAAAAATAGCACATATGAAGCCAAATCAATATTGCCTTTGAACTCCACTAGTGTATCTGATGAAAAATTTATTACCATTCAACTGAACTTTGTATAAATGAGTTATTATTAAACTGAATTGTTTTTAAGTTACTTAGTTCATCAAAACTTAATCTGACATCTGAGATCAAAGACATGATTTTTCTTAAAACAGCATAATTATTTAAAATCGTTTGAAAATTGTAATTACAGAAAGTACCCTTTCAGTTAAAAAAATACGCAGATGTTCTCTTTTTCAGAATATTTGTTGGAGTGTAGCTGCTTCACAAATGTGTGCGAGTTTCTGCTGCGCAGCAAAGTGAATCAGCTACGTGTGTGCTCGGCTGCTACACGGACACACGCGTCCCCTCATTTCTGGATTTCCTTCCCAGTTAGGTCGCCACAGAGCACTGAGAGTTCCGTGTGCTACACATAGTAGGTTCTCATCAGTCACCTATTTCATGTACAGATGTTCCAGTGAGTGAGTCCCCTTGATCCCACAGACACACAAAGACAGAGACGCCCAAATACCTTTCATGAGCCTGGCAAACGGCTCGGGGCAGGTGGAGGGGATGGGCAGGGTGAGCTTGTTGACCGCCACCCCGTAGGCAACAGCCAGGCCGTCGATGCCACGGTAGGGCACCTCTCCGGTGAGCAGCTCCCACAGCACCACTCCATAGCTGGGAAGGAGAGTTTTCATAAAGTTAGATGGGGTTTTCTCCCTCATGACACAGTCAATGGGAGAAACATATCAGTGCCTTCATCCAGCTCCTAATAATCTTCTCTTCCAGCAAAGCCCATGGGGCCTTTATCCCAGCGTGAGAGGTGTTCTTCCACTTAACATTCCAAACATATGCAATTCCTCTCCTTCCAGAAATCAGTCATGCCTTCTTCTGAGGAATTGAAACTACTTAGTGGATAGGAAAGCTTAAAAGCAGTACATGACTGAATTAAACAGTGTCCAGAACCAGGCCTTTTCACACTGTTGAGATGACTCATTGGAAAAGACCCTGATGCTGGGAAAGATTGAGGGCAGGAGAAGGGGATGACAGAGGATGAGATGGTTGGATGGCATCACCGACTCAATGGACATGGGTTTGAGTGAACTTTGGGAGATGGTGAGGACAGGAAGGCCTGGTGTGTTGCAGTTTGTGGGATCGCAAAGAGTCGGACACGAGTGAGCGACTGGAAAACATGAACCAGGCCACATATAAAGAGCAATGTGGTTGTTCTGATGTTTGTCCTTCTGTCTCATTTTTTCCCCATCTGAGGATCTTCAGGACACTGAAGATTCCAGCCCTACTGAATCTCATGCTATACCAGCACAGGACTGAAGTCCAAACATGCTGTTTTAAAGCAGGTTTTTGAAATTGCTTCTCTCTGCCTCTCCCTTTATATTTAGGAGATGTGTTACTCATGTTTCCACCTGATGCCTACTAGTAACGGACAAAGAAATCCTGTGAGCCCCCCTGCGCCTGCTGGGAGGACATGACACATCTTTTTTATAACCCAGGGAGGTAAAGTGGAAGGAGAATAAAAAACAAGGAACAGCCGCAGCAGCCAAGCTCTTCAAAGCATCAGCAGATGCGATGCAGGCGTGTGCTGTGCTGTGCTGAGTCACTTGGTCGTGTCTACTCTTTGCGACCCCACGGACTGTAGCCTGCCAGGCTCCTCTGTCCATGGGGATTCTCCAGGCAAGAATACTGGGATGGGTAGCATATCCCTCCTCCAGGGGATCTTCCCAACCCAGGGATTGTCTGTTGCATTGCAGGTGGATTCTTTACCAGCTGAGTCACTGATGCTTCAGTTCAAGGGCAAGTGAAATTACATACAAGAACCAGCAAACACGCAGTAGGATATCGAAATGAATTTTTAAATGAAGCTGAAGGGCCAAATTTCAGTTCACATTCATACTAGAGACTGTAAGTTGGCCCAGTTCAAGGCAGTACAAGGGAGCATAGAAATAAGCCTTGAACATTATACATATTTATTCTCTTCTACAAAACCAATCAGAACCTTAGTTTCTCTTTGTTGTTGTTGCTTAGTTGCTAAGTCATGTCGGACTCTTTGCGACCCCATGGACTGTAGCTCACCAGGCTCCTCCGTCCATGGGATTTCCCAGGCAAGAATACTGGAGTGGGTTGACGTTTCCTTCTCCAGGGGATCTTCCTGTCCCCGGGCTCAAACCTGCATTTCTTGCATTGGCAGGCAGAAATTCTTTACCACTGAGCCACCAGGAAAGTCATCTTTTTCAAAACATAAAGTGCATTCAGATTATCTTTTGTTTTATTACATAAAACATCAGTCACTCTTGACACTCACCTGACTTTAAAACCATAAGCATGGGGAGAGGACACAGCTTTGTACCTATGGATAATTCTTGTTGATGTATGACAGAAAACCACAAAATTGAGTACAGCAATTATCCTTCAATTAGAAAATTCAAAAAAATGTTGAAATGCAAAAGAAATTAGCCTATAAGGAAGGAGCATATTTGCTTTAAGCTCTATTAACATAAGGGGCTTCCCTTGTAGCTCAGCCCGTAAGGAATCTGCCTGCAGTGCAGATCAGGGTTCGATTCCTGGGTTGGAAAGATCCCCTGGAGAAGGAAATGGCAACCCACTCCAGTATCCTTGCCTGGAGAATCCCATGGACAGAGGAAACTGGCAGGCTACGGTCCATGGGGTTGTAAGAGTTGGACATGACTTAACGACTAAACCACCACTATTAACATAAGAAGTACAGTGCTATTCACTTTTCTAATCTTTTCAAACTTCATTAACTTTAAGGTAAAAAAAGTTTGAATTTTTTTGTGTGTTTGTGAGTTAAGTTTTATTTTGGGGCTTAATGAGGACTATAGCCCAGGAGACTGCATTTCAGATAGCTCTGAAAAACCGGTCCAAAGAGATAGGGGGAAGGCCAGTGTTCAATATGACTCTAGTGAAGTGGGATACTTGCAGGCAAGCATAACATTTTGGCAGAGGCTTGCCAGTCACCAGGAACAGATAAAAGTTTGAAATTTAAAGAAGTAACTTCTCATTTCTTCTGTTTGCTGCTTATATATGATATTTGAGCATAGTTTTAAAGACAGCAGACAGAAGGCAGCAAAATATGCCTAAGCAAAGGCAAAACAGCTCAGAAGCAATAAAAGCCATTTAACTGTGCGTTGGAACTGATTTCTGAGTCTCATTTGATTATCTCCTGACCTTAAGAGATACCGTGATTCACAGCATCACAAATACAGAAAGCCCTCTGTGAAGAAGAGCTGGTCTGCAGAGAGACTCTGGGGCCCTGGTGCAGGCCATCCTGGCCATGACCACTGCCTTTATAGGCCTCTCCACTAGTGCCCACTGGCCTCCAGACTACACTGGAAACATTCAGAAAGGGACACAGAAACAACAGAATGTGCCTACTCAAGTGGGGCTCACAGGTCCTCCAGTGATGTGCTCCTGGCCCAGGAGCAGAGGTGCTTCCGTCCAGGGCCCTTTCTCCACCAGGAGCAGTAAGAGGGCAGCACCGAAAGGCTTCTGGACCTGGAGGCAGCAGGCCTGGGCCTGAGCTGCGGGACTGACTCCCTGCTGCCTGTGTCTCCACTCACATGGCCTTGAGCTGATCTTGAATCACTGATGAAGTATTAGGGATATCTGCCCTACCCTCTCAAAGCACTGCTTTACATTTTTTAATAAAAGCAACATACAGTGCAGTACTTCTAGGTTATATAATGCTATAAGTATTAGTAATTAAGTTATAAACAGGATTTTTCAAAGGCTATCTGCTTAGTTTCTTAAAAATTATCTGTATTATGATGCATTAGCAGAGACACATACTTAATTTCAAGAGTAAGTAAACTTAATTTACAGTTCAATCAACAAAAATCATTTCAGAGCATAAGACCAAAAAATTCCTAGAATAACCGAACATTGCCTAAATTCAAAGAAGCTTCCTTGTTATTCTCAATAGAAAATAACAATTTAAACAATAACAGCACAACTTTGCCTCTTGGAAGTTTCAGAGAATGAATAATTTAGGATAGGTCATTTTTCCAGAGCAAAGTAATCTGGTAAGAACCAATCTGGGAAAAAAGGCGGGGTGGGGGGGGGTACTATTTCTATGGGACAATTTCTAAAGCATAATGCATATTTTTCTGCTCTCTGAAACTCAGTGGGATATGGTATAAAAAGCCCTCTGCTGAGACAAGTGGTCTAATGATTAAAGGCTGTGGTGGCAGGAACATGGCTCTTAAGCCATGGATCAGAGTGTGCTATTCATTGGTTTTACAATTCTGGGGAAATGTCTAAACCTGTCAGTGTGAAACTGGGGTAATCACAGGAGTCACAGTAAAAGTCCAGTGATAATATCTGTCAAAGTTCTTGCAGAGTAATAACTGGTAAGGAGGGCAGAGGCAGAGAGGACAATCACTAAATACACTGGTATACATATATTAATACCAGCCCCACAGACCAGGGCGATGCTTCTTGAATGCAATTATTTTTATGGGAATATTACAAAGGAGGTTCTAAAGCAAAGGTCTGTGTAGTTCAGAGGGACACCCTGCCCTGCCTTCCACATCCTGACACCTAGGACTCTGCTTTAACACATCGATGCGTTCTGGAGATGTGTGCGGACGTCTGGCTCCACACCAGGTGGCTATGGAGGTCAGTAGGCTCTGGTCTTTTTCATACATTTCATGCTCTTTTGCTCCTGTCGCCTACTCTGTTCTCAACTGACATTTTTGTTTTTTTTCTTTTTTACCAGCTTAGCATCCTTCTCCCCTCTTCTGATTAGATGCTTCTACTGAAAATCAGACAACCAAGCTTATATTAATACAACTGAGAAAAGAACAGATTTTGAGGGAATTCCTCTCTGCGAGTGTCTGGACTTTAAGACCAAGACTATGACTGATTTTAGAAATTCTTTTTTCCTTACTTCTTGATTCTATGTTTATAGTCAGTGAGGTTGCTATAAAGCATTTATGTAGATTGCACAGCATTTGTATAGCTTATAATTACATAGTTTATTTTAAAAGGCACACAATGAGTAAAATGGTTATAGTGTTAAGTAATTATTCAGAATGTAAAATTGATTTATGGTACATTTTATGAGTTTTCAGAGTCTTGAAGTATAATTTCTTAAAACAATCACCTACTTCACTTAAGTATTTTGGCATTATATGTTCAGAAAATTACTGTGATTAAGTCAAGAACAACACATCTAATATTTTATAAAGACACATGTGCTCAGGCTCTATCAGCACAGTATAACTCATTAAGTAAGGGGTGAGGCCCAAGCTTTTGTATTTCTCAGAAAGGCCCAAGGACGCTATAGAACCCCTGGCACAGGCGATAAATTTCTTAAAAGTCATAAGTATAACAATTAAGTTAGAAGGCCTTATTTATACACTGCTGGTAGGAATGAAGATTGGTGGAAAACAGTCTGGCAGTTCCTCAAATGATTAACTATAAAATTACCCTGTGACCCAGCAATTTCACTCCTATCCAAGAGAAGGAAAACTCATGTCCTCACAAGAACTTTTTCACAGATGCCCATAGCAGCATTATTCAGATTTCGTCAATAAGTTGAAACAGCCCCAATGCCATCAACTGGTAAATGGACAAGAAAATGTGGTATTATCCGTCCAATGGAATATTATTCAACAATAGATAAGAATGAAGTTCTGACACATTCTATGACATGAACCTTGAAAATACACTAACTGAGAAGCCACTCAAGAGGACCACATATTACATAATTCCATTTATACAAAATGTCCAGAATAAGCAAATCTAAAGATACAAAACATAGATTCATGATTGCCTTGGGCTGGGAGGGATGAGGTTTTGAGGGAGATGGATACCTTTAATAGGATTTCTTTAATGGATTATGAAAATGTTCTAAATTGTGGTGATGAAGGTATACAACTCTATTAATATACTAAAAGCCATGAAATTGCACAGTTTAAACTGGCGAATTCAATAGTTTGTATGATGTGTGAATTATATCTCAATAAAGCTGTTAAAACAACAACAATTAAAAAAGAAACCCTGGAGTTTTAATATTAGTCACACAGCATTTTATGAGCCTTAAATGAAGGCCAGTAAGCTCCTGGTGCATTTTAAGTATGAACAGAGTTGTTCTGCTGTTCTCTGTGTTGTTCTGGCATGGATGGTGTCTTTACTCCCTAATGAGACAAAGCTGAATGGAAAATTCAGATAACCTGGGATCCCATTTTGGTCCAGCTCTCCATTCCCAAGCCAGAAGCTTTAATCTTTAGATGATTCAATCTATAAAATGAAGGAGCTGATCTAAATTTTTTCTTCAAACTCCTTCCACGCTAACATTCTGTGTGTGAGTCATGAGGAATCAAAATGTTGCTTAAAGTGAGATTTATGTTTATTTACCGACAGGTCTTACAAAACGACATTACTGTTGACTCAAACTATAACCAGTTTTAATCAAACCTCAGATTTAATAAGATTCTTCTATCAAATGGAAGTCCTAGGACAATCAAAATCTCAAGTTACCCATTCCACCATGATTGTAACTAACGTGATCAAAACCACAAAACCTTCAAAAAGGCCCATACAGATCTTCCTCAACTTACGATGAGGTCACATCTGGATAACTCCATAGTAAGCTGAAAATACATTTAATACACCTAACATTACAGAAGGCTAGCCCGTGTGTAGTGTGCTCTCACTGCAGTCCTGTCCGACCCTCTGCCACCCCATGGACTGTAGCCCACCAGGCTCCTTTGTCCATGGGACTCTCTAGGCAAGAATACTGCAGTGGGTTGCCGTGCCCTCCTCCAGGAGATCTTCCTAACCGGGGGATCAAACCTACATCTCTTCTGTCTCCTGCATCAGCAAGCGTGTTCTTTACCACTGGCACCACCTGGGAAGACCAAGCTTAGCCTAGTCTTTCTAAAAGTGCTCAGAACACTTACATCAGCCTAGGGTTGGGCAAAATCATCTAACGCAAAGCCTAAAGCTGGTCTTGTGTTGAATATCTCGTGTAGTTGATTGCATCCAATACCAAAACTAAAAAGCAGGGTGGTTGTCTGGGTCCAGAATGGTTGTAAGTGTATTATTGGTTGTTTCCCCCGCTGATGGTGGGGCTGACCGGGAGCTGTAGCTCACTGCCTTTGCCTGGCCTCACAAGAGAGGACTGGACCATGTGTCACTAGCCTGGGAAAGATCAAAACGCCAAATCCCAAGTACAGTTTTTAGAGAGTGCATACCACTTTTGCACCATTGTAAAGTCAAAAAAATTGTTAAGTGGAATGACCACAAACTGGGGACCATCTTTACTATCCATTATGCTCAGAATGATTCAATACTTTGGGACTCACATGGTAAAGAATTTGCCTGTAATGCAGAAGACCCAGGTTCAATCTCTGGGTCAGGAAGATCCCCTGGAGAAGAAAATGGCAACCCACTACAGTATTCTTGCCTGAAGAATCCCATGGACAGAGGAGCCTGGCGGGCTACAGTCCATGGGGTCACAAAGAGTTGGACACGATTGAGCAACTAATACTTGGGACTCATTTAATGGAAGTGCAGCAACCAATTTCCGCTAACATCTGCAAGAGCAAAATGCATGGTGCTTACTCACCTCCAGATGTCGCTTCCCTTGGAAAACAAGGAAGACTTGATGACTTCCGGGGCCATCCAGGCATACGTGCCCGCTGCGCTCATCCTGGTAGTCCTGTGCCATTCTCTCGCCAAGCCAAAGTCTGTGATCTTCAGTGTCTTGTTGCAGATGTCATCATATTCTATCTTCTCGAGGAGCAAAACTAAGGGAAAAACAAAGGGAGAGTGTTCGCATATTTTTATAATTTTTCAGTGACTTTTAAAATACAATCTTCACTGCAGTTAGCAGGGAAGAGAACATACCTGAATTTTACCATTTTATCTTATTAATACATCATGCTTTTCATGGCCTTTAGTGGGTCATTTGTGCCTGAAGTTACAAGTTTAAAAAAATCCAGACACAATACAGCTTAACATCTTTATGAGAAAGTAAATGATTTCTAGGGGCTGGAAACATTTAACTGAGATATCACAGGGAGAATCAGAAGTCTGTGAAAGTTTATGTGACAGGAAAATAATACATGGTTTTCTTCTGAGAAGTTAGGTCCTGATCTAAAAATGTAGTCTTTTCTACTGAATGTATCAGAGTATTGCAAGTAGACAGCATATTACCATAAATCATTATTATCAAAGATTATCTTAAGTTTGCCAAATGTGAATAGACATGTTAACCCATTAAGTTATTTTATGAGATTGGATTGCTTTACCAGAGATCAGAATACAGCAAAAAGTAAAACTTTCTAAGAAACATTATCCAGATGCTGGCTCCCCAGCCCCCTGACAAAATGCAGAGCTACAAGAGCAGCTTCAGGAGCTGAGCTGAGGTCAGGGCTGCCCTGAGCTCTCACGTGTGTGCGTGCAGGCTAAGTCCTTTCAGTCATGTCCGTCTGCCACACTCAGGTAGCAGAAGCTAAAATAACCCTGCTTCCCATCACTGCCCAGCTGCACCCCCTACCCCGCCCTTCCCAGAGCCTTGGGTTCCTCTCTCCCCTGATTTCTCTGCATATATCCAAGCAGAAATGTCCCACTGTTTTCCATGAGGATCTGATGCAGCTGCATATCCACACTACTCCTTTCCATTTGCTACAAAAGGGATGGTTTAAACCTACTGTGTTTTCTAACTTATCCCCTTGCTCCGTCCTTAAAACCCTCCTTCTAGCCTGCAGCTCAGTTATTCCAGTTCAGCCTAATGCCCAACAGCCATGAAATTAAAAGACGCTTGCTCCTTGGAAGAAAAGCTCCGACCAACCGAAACAGCGTATTAAAAAGCAGAGACATTACTTTGCCAACAAAGGTCCATCTAGTCAAGGCTATGGCTTTTCCAGTTGTCATGTATGGATGTGAGAGTTGGACTATAAAGAAAGCTGAGCGCCGAAGAATTGATGCTTTTCAACTGTGGTGTTGGAGAAGACTCTTGAGAGTCCCTTGGACTGCAAGGAGATCCAACAAGTCCATCCTAAAGGAGATCAGTCCTGAATATTCATTGAAAGGACTGATGCTGAAGCAGAAACTCCAATACTTTGGCCACCTGATGCGAAGAACAGACTCATTAGTAAAGACCCTGATTCTGGGAAAGATTGAAGGCAGGAGAAGGGGAAAACAGAGGATGAGATGGTTGGATGGCATCACCGACTCAATGCACATGAGTTTAAGTAAATTCTGGGAGTTTGTGATGGACAGGGAGGTCTGGTGTGCTGCAGTCTATGGGGTCGCAAAGAGTCGGACACAACTGAGCGACTGAACGGAACTGAATGCCCTGCAGATGCCCCTCCCCCACTACCCTGCCACCATCTCAAACCAAATTACAGTCCTTCTCTTTTTTATCTTTTTAAGCCTCTCATGAATAAACTACCGATACATGTCACAATAGGGACGACTCTAAAAACCACTACACTAAGAGAAGGAAGCCCCACATGGAAGGTTTCATACAATGATCTTGTATGACATCCTGGAAGAGGAACAGAAATCAGACCAGCAGCTTTGAGGCTGAAGGGAAAGGTCTGAGGGCAGCACTTCATAGGAGAGTTTTTCCAAGGTATGCAAATTCTCTCTCTTGGTAGTGGTGGTTACAGGATTATATGTATCTGTCAAAACTCATCAAAGTGAACCCTCAGAGGGTGAGTTTTACTCTATGTGAATTATACCCCAATAACCTGCATTTTAAAATATTCCATGACTCCCCATAACTCAGGGAGAATGTCCACACTCTGAAACCTGGGCAATCACAGCCCCTAGATTCACACAGCAAGCTACATTCAAACCGTGCCCGGTTCCTCTACGGATAAGCTTCCTCCGCTCCAGCCAGGCTGGCTGCTCCTCCAGCCCAAGCAGTATCTGCTCAGTGACATCTTCCAGATACCCCAAGTCAGGAAGCATCACGTCCTCCACACTCACGTGCCCTCTGTGTTTCGGTGACAGCTCTGCGAGGCGCCACATACCGCAGTGTTTGCACTTGATGCCTCCACTACTGTGAGCGCTGAGACAGTAAGTGTGACACAGTGAGTGTGTGAGTGAGGGACAGAATGTGTGTGGTGGGCATGGCAGGAGAGGAGAAAGATGGTAAGAAACGCGCACATTCGTGCTCACCCGCATGGAACCACTCTGTGGTGTCTGATTCAGCACAGGTGCACAGTGTGTACAGGCGAAATGAACAAAACATGCCCATTCTCATGTTTATCCTTTGCCCACGCCAGTTCCCATCTAACAGAAATAATAACCAGTCCATAAGAGTCATTGGTAACTTCGATATTCACTATATTCCCTGTACTTTACAGGCGTTATTTCATTTAATCCTCACAAAAATCACAAGAGACAGGTCTTCATGATCAGAAGATAATTAGTACTGAAAAAAAATTGAGCAACACAGTGAATCCAATCAAACAGTAATGCAAATTTCAGAGTTAATAGAGTATATGTCTGTGTGTGTGTAGGGGGAGTTATTATTCAGGTTTCACCTTGAAAAATAACATGAAAAAGTCTATTTTAATCTTTTTTGCCAGTTTTTCTAAATGTCCTATGGACATCTAATAGCAACATATGAGATACAAAATTTTAAATATATTTGTGCAGGATACAAGATTAATATAAATTAATTAAATATATTAACCTATTATATTTAAATTATTAATGACATCATTCAAGATGCTCCTATTCTTATTTTTTTCTGCACTTGATAAAATATTCCCAGAGAAATGTTAATATGTCTCGCTATGATTATGTATTTTGTTATTTTCCCTTATATTTCTTCTGATTTTTGTTTTATGTATCTTTCTTTGTTATTAGGTGTCTAATGATTTATGATGTCCATCTTCTTTATAGACTGTACCTTTTATCATTAAAAATATTCACCTTTGTTTCATTTAAAAATGAATAAATTAACTCATTTTTTTTGAAAAGCCTTTTATTCTTTAACAACACTTTTGTCATTGTTTAAACCAGGCACAAACTCTTAAAAGGACAAAAATGAACAAGCATGCGAGATTTCTTAAAATAAATTACAAAAACAAAACTGGAAACGAGCATAAGACATTCTTCATGTTTGATCTGTGGAAAAGGGGAAGCACTTTCCCAAACGTTATAGGAATAATCAGCATGGACGGAGCACATTCTGTCCGGTACACTTAACGGGTATTTTAATCAGATAACCCCCACCAGAGTGCTATAGGTGCATATTATTTATCACCTGTACTTGCTAGATAAGGAAACTGAGACATAGAGATGCTGAGTAATCCGTCCAAGGTCACGGAGCTAAGGAGCAACACTGTTCAAGGTTCAAGCTGTCTGACCCCTGGGTCATGGTCCTAACTGCAGCCTGCATTGCTCAGCTGACAGCGGTTATAAATTTTTCACAACCACTTTCTCGATCCCTTGGAAATCTGCTTGTATTCAGGAGCCCGCTGTCCTCCTTTCTGATTTCCTGCCATTGGATAATTACCACGTGATCTCAGGGCAGCCCCGCGGCATCACGGGAGAAGCATGTGTGCAGGGCAGACTGCTCGGTTTGGACTCTGCTTCTGATTGCTGTCTGTCACGGGAATTATGACAGTGCGAATGTCATGAGGTTGCAGGGAGGAAGAAATGAAGACACACACAGTGCTCAGAACCATGTCTGAAACACAGTAAGCGTTTCGTAAGGATTACACATACATGTATCCACATACACCCTTTATCGATGGGTTTGAAAGCGTTTTTAGCAAATCTTCAAAATCACTTGAATGGATGTCAGGAAATCCTATCACTTTGCAAGGCTTGAAATTTCACTTTGTAATGTATTCACATTTGTGTCATCAATTTAGACAGTCACTAAAGTCACAGAGTTAATGCAACATGAGCTCGCTGGAGGGGGACTGATTATATAAGTTGCCAATTCTGAATAAATACTGTTGCGTGTAATGTTCCCTCCCCTAGAACCTCTAACTAATATGCAGAGAGCAAGGACCCCCTTCTATCCCCCCAACACCACCTAAGGCAGTACCTCATACACCAAACACTCAGAATAGTTTTTATTAATGATAATTATTAATATCACCAGTTATAATAAGAATATTGTCTCCCACTAACTAATCCTCTTCTATGTCGAGTTGTCTCCATTTCATATCTCATTGGACCTTCAAGCCATTCTGTGACAGTCTGGAATGTACAGTTTCCAGGTCATAGTTAGAAATGTAACCCAGATCATACGGCTACCATACAGGGCCAGGCTTCAGATCCCATCTGAAGAGCATGCATCTGAACGACTGGGCACAAAGTGGGCACACCAAATTCTGGGCCACAGAAACAGACAATTCTTGCTAGCAACCCAGTCTTCCTTGTTACTAATAATGCTACCAGTTACAAAAAGGGAACAGAATAATCAGAAATTTCACTTTGTTAATTTTTGAATTTTCGTTTCTTCCATGTCAGCTTAAGGTATATTTATTTCTCAGTGCTGATTCCTCATAAATATCAAGAAAAAATCAATATCTGATGCTTTAAAATCCTGTATACTTGAACCACAGAAACAAAAAAATAGATAATTAGCCACAGGGACTTCCCTGTGGCTCAAACAGTAAGGAATCTGCCTGCGATGCAGAAGACTGGGGTTTGATCCCTGGGTTGGGAAGTTCCTCTGGAGAAGGGAATGGCAATCTACTCCAGTATTCTTGCCTGGAGAATTCCATGGAGAGAGAAACCTGGCGGGCTATAGTCCGTGGGGTTGCAAAGA